TGTATGTAAGAAACGACAGGCATTCATGTAGTATTTACCACAATTCGGTTTTCTAAGAAAACACTGACTAAATGTAGGTCATATGTGATAAGCACTGCATAGCTAAACATGCTTTTAAGCCTATTTCAGGGCAATTGCAGTCATTATTCTGGAATCTACCAGTATGTGTCAATGGCCTACATGTATGTAATGTAAAGTTTAGTCACACAGAACTTGTTGAGAGAAGCTTGAACAAAGACCCTCGGATTGGTACATGCAACCTGATCAAGAGGAAGTAGGCTATGGCTTCATGTTCATCTCCCTCGCTCCTCTCTCTATATCCCCTCAAATAGAAAAAAAGGAACAAGAAAAACAACTCAGGGATCAAATGACAAACAGATCATGCAAGAGCGGAGGTCCCTTTGAACCTCTCTCTGCGGAAGTCAGCTTTTTCCCCCTCTCTCTCCATCTCTTATCCCCCCTTCCCTCCCTCCCTGTACCGGAGATGGGCTTTCAACACACAAAGCCCTGGAAAAACAGGCAATGAGTGCCTGAGCCCTGGCCTTGTCTGTAGAGCAGAGGTGTCACGACACTTTGTGGATCCTGTCTACACCAGGCAGTCACTGTCTCTCTGAGCCTATCCCAGGTCTCTGTACTAACAGGGTTGCATCAATAAGATTAGCCAGCAAACGTTGATCATTGATCATGCCCACACTCATTCACAGAAAGCTGAAATTGAATGTAAGTTACTGAGCGTGTATAGTCAGTTTAACTATTTCAAGCAATACTTTCTTATGTAGTTGTGAATCTCTGGGAGTTATGTTGTGCTGTGATCAACAAACTCTGCATCCAACAACCTTCCTTCCCTCCCTCATCTTCTTCCCTGAACAACTAAGATACTGGAACATAAGTATTATTTTGCTTACTTAGCTACACTCTTAGAAAAAAAAGAAGGTTATCTAGAACCTAAAAGGGTTCTTCGGCTGTCCCCACAGGAGAATACTTTTTGGTTCCAGGTAGAATCATTTTGGTTCCAGGTAGAACCGTATTGGGTTCCATGTAGAACCCTTTCCCCAGAGGGTTCTACATGTAACCCAAAAGAGTTCTACCTGGAACCAAAAACGGTTCTACCTGGAACCAATAACGGTTCTCCTATGGGGACAGCCAAATAACTATTTTAGAACCTGTGTAGTAGCTACACAGCTCAACGTCTATAGTAGAAGACAAAGAGCTGTCCATATTTGGGACGCACCCTCTGACCACTATACTGTATGTGTCTGTGCAGGGCAGAAGGTAGAGCATTTTTTATTTTTTACAGAATGTAAAAAAAACTGAACAAACAGTAAGCTAACAGTATGCAGGTGTGTCACGGTTAACCTATCCTTTCTGCCTATTTGAACAGGTGTCACTCTGAGTGTGTGTGTGTGTGCTTTAATGTGTAGTAAGAGTAACTGGGGATATGAACGGCTCCTACGGAGTATAGGACAGAGGCCTTCCCTTGTTGTAATCTGATAAGCGTGGGTGCCCCTCCTCTCCTCTTCTATACCTCCACTCCTCTGTCGTTCCACTCCCTCCTTTGTACCGGTCCATGTTTATCTGCTCATCCCCTGAAGGAGGTTAGAGGGAATTTCCTAAAAGATAATCCCTCTGCTTTTTAGCGCCTGCCAATCAGGAGACGGAAAGGAGGAGGTGGTAATGATAACCATTCTCCTCTCCTGTCTCTGTGTGTCTGAGAGGGAATGTCTTTACCATGTGTGACCCCAAGTGATCCTTTCTGCCTGGCTTGCGCCACACACACACACACTTGTTTTTCTATCCTTGTGGGGACCTAAAACTGATTTTCATTCAAAATACTATTTTCCCTAACTCTAAACCTTAAGCTTAAAATTGAGAATTTTCCTTGTTTTACTATCCTTGTGGGGACTTCAGGTCCCCACGAGAATAGAAGAGCTAGACCACACACACACGTACCTGCATGTTACACACACACACACCCCTTGTAACATGCATTCTAATAGTCAACAAGAACATCTGTCTCAAAGAGAACCCTCACCATCAACACCACAAAGCCCCGCCAACAGGAAGTCATTAATGGGAAGTTATGGGCTTACACTGCTAATAACACACACACACACACACACACACACACGGGTGGGAGTGTGTTTTTTTGGCTACAGTAAAATGTTGAGGGGAAGTAAGGATTGGCAGAAATTCTCTATAAAGTTCTCCAACTGAAATGCAGCCAAATCGGTGCACATGCTGAGGTGGAAGTGGGACAAAACACCAGTGTGTGTGTGTGTGTGTGTGTGTGTGTGTGTGTGTGTGTGTGTGTGTGTGTGTGTGTGTGTGTGTGTGTGAGAGAGTGAGTGAGTGAGTGAGTGAGAGAGAGAGAGAAAGAGAGAAAGAAAGAAAGAAAGAAAGAGGGAAAGCATGTAGTAGCTTCCTGACTAAACGTTGCATGAAACCCCAAATCCTCCCCAAAACCCCAAAACATGTCCCCAGTCCTCTCTCTAAGGGCTGCACCACTTTATGTAAAAGGGAGGGGGAACCAGAGAAACGAGGAAGGATGTGGTACGGAGAGCAAACAGGACCCAGCCCAGAGCACCCCTTTGTGTGGCTTTTTACAGCTTCCGCACCCGCCGGCCTCGGTCACACTGGAAACGTCAACAAGACGACTCCGTCTTCACATAGGAACTGACATTAAAAACATACACCCCTTCACTTTTTCCACATTTTGTTACGTTACAAACGTATTCTAAAATGGATTAAATAAAACATTTCTCATCAATCTACACACAATACCCCATAATGACAAAGGTTGTTAGAACTTTTTGCTCACTAAAAATACAATACTAATATAGAAATACCTTATTTACATAAGTATTCAGACCCTTTGCTATGAGACTCAAAATTGAGCTCCGGTGCATCCCGTTTCCATCGATCATCCTTTAGATGTTTCTACAACTTGATTGGAGTCCACCTGTGGTAAATTCATTGATTGGACATGATTTGGAAAGGCACACACCTGTCTATATAAGGTCCCACAGTTGGCATGTCAGAGCAAAAACCAAGCCATGAGGTCGAAGGAATTGTCCGTAGAGCTCCAAGACAGGATTGTGTCGAGGCACAGATCTGGGGAAGGGTACCAGTGGCCTCCATCATTCCTAAATGGAAGAAGTTTGGAACCACCAAGACTCTTCCTAGAGCTGGCTGCCCAGCCAAACTGAGCAATCGGGGGAGAAGGGCCTTGGTCAGGGAGGTGACCAAGAACCCGATGGTCACTCTGACAGAGCTCCAGAGTTCCTCTGTGGAGATGGGAGAACCTTCCAGAAAGACAACCATCTCTGCAGCACTCCACCAATCAGGCCTTTATGGTAGAGTGGCCAGACGGAAGCCACGCCTCAGTAAAAGGCACATGACAGCCCACTTGGAGTTTGCCTAAAGGCACCTGAAGGACTCTCAAACCATGAGAAACAAGTTTTTCTGGTCTGATGAAACCAAGATTGAACTCTTTGGTCTGAATGCCAAGCTTCACGTCCGGAGGAAACCTGGCACCATCCCTACGGTGAAGCATGGTGGTGGCAGCATCATGCTGTGGGGATGTTTCTCAGCGGCAGGTACTGGGAGACTAGTCAGGATCGAGGGAAAGATGAACGGAGCAAAGTACAGCGAGATCCTTGATGAAAACCTGCTCTGGAGCTCTCAGGACCTCAGACTGGGGCGAAGGTTCACCTTCCAACAGGACAACATAATATTTCAGTTTTTTATTTTTAATACATTTGCAAAAATGTCTAAAAAGCTGTTTTTGCTTTGTCATTGTGGTGTATTGTGTGTAAATTGATGAGGGATGTTTTTTTTTTTTTAATCAGGTTTAAAATATGGCTGTAATGTAACAAAATGTGGAAAAGGTGAAGGGGTCTGAATACTTAACGAATGCCCTGTAGATAGATATGGAGATGAACACACATTTATTGTATTGTATTTATAAAGCGAGGTCCGCCCCAGTGCTATCCACATCTTTGACTGTCACTGGAAACGTCAACAAGATGTCTCTTGCTTCACAGAGGAACTGACACGGAATGTATACTTGTAGATTCTGCTGCTACTGCTTGCTATTTGAGGTCTAGGCAAGGTTACGGTAAAGCACTGGAAAAGCCCATATCCGGCTCAAAGGACCATGAAACAGAGCGAGTCTTGGATACTTGTGGGCTTTTATAGAGCAACTGCTGATGTAAAAATGACGTAAATGACACATATGGAGACATGCCAGTGCAATATGCTCAATTTATTTTCATAAACGTAGTTCATAGTATGAAAGGGAACGCATGAGAAAATATGCCGTACACATACAACAGTGGGGTTACATGGTCACACGCACACAGGCGCTTAATCAACACATGACATAATGCATAGATTCTACTAATAAAAGCTAGTACAAGCACACATAGCGAGAGGGAGAGAGGCGTGAGGTGGCCTGTCCAGGAGCAGGGCTCAGGAGACCAGAGGAATGCCCTGCCTGGCCCACTCTGCTCCCTTCACTGTCCAAACAGCAGACAGACAGACAGAAAGACATACAGGCTGTTTTCATAGCTGCAGCTGTGCTGTCTTGTCCTCCACTCCACTTCATCAACCTTTCATTACGGAGGGGCCTCACAAAGATTTTCCAAACGCACACACACACAAACAGATGAACATACGCGCACACCGGTATATGTACACAAACTCACCCCAGTCCATTTAAGTGTCCCAGACACACTGTGCTGTAGGATTGAATAATCTTTAGTCTTTAAAGGAGTGGAGAGATAGAGGGAGGATTTGATTAAGTCAATGACCCCTGAGAAAGACCACCAAGGTGGAGGTTAAGGACCCCCAGATTCCCTGCCCCTCCCCAAACACACACACACACACACACTGGACCAAGTTACAAGTCAAAGGGGGGAGTGTGTGTGTGTGTGTGTGTGTGTGTGTGTGTGTGTGTGTGTCTGTGGAGAGGGAGGTGGGTGACCTTAGGCTGAGGCGACAGGGGATCCGCTCTCCCCCTCCCTCTCTTCCTCCACACTTTCTCTTCTTCTGTCCTTCTCCTCCCCTCGCACCTGCAGCAGGATCTGACTCTGGTTGAATAAACACTCCTTCAGTTTGTCCTCCGTCAGGGTGAGACGTTCTTCCAACACAGACACAGTCTATGGGGCGGGAGGGGATCACACACACACCAGTTTTAGTCTAAAACGCTTTCACAACAATGTCAACATCACTTACAACTTCTGTCTACGTCTAACTCTGTGCAGGGGAAGTATTTTACGGTTGCCAGATTGGGTTAAGAGGTAGTGTTTTAGCCAGGGCTGCCAGATTTGGATTAAGAATTAAAGGGGGACTGACCTGAGTGAGGACGTCAAGCTGCTGGACGATGCATTGCAGGGTGCTGCTGAAGTTCATGGGGAGGCCTGAGCGCACCTCCAGAGGGGACGTCATCTCCTGTTCCCCCTCCTCCTCCACTTCCCTCCTTCCTCCTATCCGCCCAGACTGGGACCCTGATGTCGAACCCTGTCCACTACCGTGGCAGTCTTCATTGGGGTTGAGGCTGGTACTGGCAACCTGCTGTGCTGGCAACCCGTTTGCATGGCCGTTGACAGCCTTGAAAGAAAGAGGGGAGGTGGAATGGAACAGCTGACCAAGTTTGATTGATTTTGGAGTGAACGCTAACTTTAAGGACCTCACAACTGAAGTTTATGTGTAAGCATGGCAACTTCTAACTAACTATCTTAATGTTTTACTTGGTGCGGGGACTCCTGACCTGAATAGGTCCTCACAATTGGCAATCCTTTGGCTTTGATATTATTGTGTTTAACTGAAGGTCTGTGGTTCCGTAGACGTCATTTGAGGGGGATTTTAACCAGGTAGAGACTAGTTTTATGAGACCACTGAATCTAGCTGTCTTAATCAACAACCCATTGACAACACGTAGAGCAGGGATCATCAACTAGAGATTCAGCCGCGGGCCGGTTTCCTTCGTGAGTGGATGGTCAGGGGGCCGGAAAATAATTACTAATAATTTGTAGACTGCAAATCTACTGCAAGAAGCTCAAACATACATATTATTTGAATAAAACATAACCATTTCAAACCTTGCTTACATTTGTATACGATCATATACATTAGGAACACCTGGTCTTTCCGTGACAGACTGACCAGGTGAATCCAGGTGAAAGCTACGATCCCTTATTGATGTCACTTGTTAAATCCACTTCAATCAGTGTAGATGAAGGGGGTGAATGGGTGAATGAGCAAGACAAAAGATTGAAGTGCCTTTGAACAGGGTTTGGTAGTAGGTGCCAGGCGCCCAGTTTGAGTGTGTCAAGAACTGCATCACTGCTGGGTTTATATATATATATATATTTTATGCAGGGAATACATTGGAACAGATTTCCAAAATAAAAATAACTTGGAACGGATTTGCTGGTGTTTTTACAGTCTATTATTTCCAACAAAAAAATTAAAAATACAAACGATTACAACGTAACTCTTTGCTCAGAAAACTTGGGGGGCCAAATAAAATCACCCGTGGGTTGCCAGTTGGGAGGCCCTGACGGGCTGCCAGTTGGGAAGCCCTGACATAGAGGAAGTGGTTACAACCATAATGCTAATGACAAAATATGGCAAATGTATTTGTTCATGAATGCTATAAGCTGTAAGCCTAGCCAGTCTCCCTACCTCTCTCTTCCTCTCTCTCCTACTCCCTCTCTACCCTCTTCTACCTCCCTCCCACTCTACCCCCTACTCCTCTCCTCCTCCCACTCTACCCCCTACCGCCCTCTACCTCCTCTTCGCTGTCTCCCCTCTACCTCGCTCTCTACCGCTACTGCCCTCTCTCTCCTCTCCTTCCCCCACCTCTCTCTAACCTCCACTACCTCTCCTCACTCCCACCCCTCTACCTCTCCCTCTCTACCTCCCTCCCTCGAGAGACTCTCTCTCTACCTATCTCTCTCCTCTACCTCTACTCTACCCCTCCCTAACTCCCTACTCTCTCTACCTCCCTACCCCTCCCTCTCCTCCCTCTCTAACCCTCCCTCTCTCTCCCTCTCTACCTCCCACCTCCCTCTCTAACTCCCTAGCCCTCTCTACCCTCTCTCCTCTCTCTCTACCTTCTCTACCTCCCTACCTCTCTACTAACCTTCCCTCCCTCTCTCTCCTCCCTCTCCCCTCTCTCTTACCCTACCCTACCTCGCTATACCTCCTAACTCTTCTCAACTCTCTCTACCTCCCTACCTCTCTCAGACCTCCCTCTCTCTCCCTCTCTACCTCCCTACCTCCCTACCTCACTCTTCCTCCCTCCCTCTCTATGGCCAATAATGTTTTTACAGTAAAGAGGAAAGGAGAAGATGACAGGATAGAGACTGGCTAAGGATTCCAAGGTAACCTGTCTAAATGACTATCACCCCCCCCTCCCCGTAGCACTCACATCTGTAGCCATGAAATGCTTTGAAAGGCTGGTCATGGTCACATCAACACCATCATCCAGACACGCTGGACCCACTCCAATTCGCATACCGCCCCAACAGATCCACAGATGACATAATCTTTATTGCACTCCACACTTCTCTCTTCCACCTGGACAAAAGGAACACCTATGTAAGAATGCTGTTCATTGATTACAGCTCAGCGTTCAACACCATAGTGCCCTCCAAGCTCATCACTAAGCTCAGAGCCCAGGTGGTAAAGGTCAGTAACAACACATCCGCCACTCTGACCTTCAACACGGGGCCCCTCAGGGGTGCGTGCTTAGTCCCATCCTGTACTCTCTGTTCACCCACTACTGCGTGGCCGCGCACGACTCCAACACCATTATTAAGTTTGACGACGACACGACTGTGGTAGGCCTGATCACAGACGATGATGAGACAGCCTATAGGGATAAAGAGGTCAGTGACCTGGCAGTGTGGTGCCAGGACAACAACCTCTCCCTCAATGTCAGCAAGACAAAGGAGCTGATTGTGGACTACAGGAAATGGAGGGCTGGGCACGCCCTCAATTCCCTCGTACCCATGCACATGGACTTGGTACTGGTACACCGTGTATATAGCCATGTTATCGTTACTCATTGTGGTATTTATTCCTCGTGTTATTCTTTTTCTATCTTTTTCTCTGCATTGTTGGTAAGGGACTGTAAGTAAGCATTTTGCTGTTAGTCTACACCTGTTGTTTACCAAGCATGTGACAAATTACATTTTATTTGATAACTTGGGCGGTTATGATCTGAGAGTCTTGGGGTATAGGACTCAACGTATTGGCCTGTTCCTAAAAAACAGGCAAACAGTTAAAAAACAGGGTCAACAAGTTGGAGAACTTTCCTACATATGCGGAGACCAAATCCATAACTCCTAAAGCAAGATAGACAATAGAAACTAGCTGCAGCCCGTCCTTAGACAGTAAATCATTGAATTTGATTAATTTTATTCAAAAGGAATTTCATTATTCAAAGCAGGCTCAAGTGTTCCTGCTTTGGAAACACAACCCAAGACCATGCAGACAGACAAGGATCAACACAATCTACAATGTTGCTCCAACACACCGACTTCAGATCAGAGCTAGTACACAGAGCTAGTACACAGAGCTAGTACACAGACAAGATGTATCCCTGTGCTCCAACTGCCCCATACAGTACACAGACACGGACAAAAACAATGTGCTAGCGAGCTTCCTGGGCAGGGTAAGGGAGGCACAGGGGTGAGGAGAGAAGGAATGAGACAAGAGAAGAGGAAGGAGAAGGTGAGTGGGGGCTTAAACCGAAACGCATGGAAGAATCGATTCCTGCCTTGTTTCCTGTGCACTTACATCAAAGAGTCTGGGGTGGGGGGGGGGGGGGGGGGGGGAGACTTGGTCCTGACTGGAGGTGAACAAAGCTGTCAGTGTGTGAATAAGGGAGTCTTTTTGTTCCTCTCCCCCCCACGGGCCACATCTGGGAAATTGTTTGGTATTAATGCCAGAGACCAGACCGAATCCTCCATCTCTCTTCTCTATTAATTGCCAGCGACCAGACCTACTCCATTCTCTCTATTAATGCTCAGCAGACCCAGACCCGAATCCATCCATCTCTCTCTCTCTATTAATGCTCAGCAGACCCAGACCCAGACCCGACTCCATCCATCTCTCTCTATTAATGCTCAGCAGACCCAGACCAGACTCCATCCATCTCTCTCTCTATATTAATGCTCAGCAGACCCAGACCCAACTCCATCCAGCTCAGCAGACCCAGACCCGACTCCATCCATCTCTCTCTCTCTATTAATGCTCAGCAGACCCAGACCCGACTCAATCCATCTCTCTCTCTCTATTTAATGCTCAGCAGACCCAGACCCAACTCCATCCAGCTCAGCAGACCCAGACATGACTCCATCCATCTCTCTCTCTCTATTAATGCTCAGCAGACCCAGACCCAACTCCATCCAGCTCAGCAGACCCAGACATGACTCCATCCATCTCTCTCTCTCTATTAATGCTCAGCAGACCCAGACCCGAATCCATCCATCTCTCTCCCTCTTTTGTCTTTCCCTTCTCCTGCAGGAAGTTGGAGAGCAATCAGACATTAAGAGGCAGCATACTTAAGATGGGTCCATGTGTCAATCACTGTAACGCACACACACTGTGCTCGTTTGCCATGTCATGTGGTACGGCGAGACACGGCTCATTGCCACGGCAACCAAGGCCATCGGCGGCATTCTGCCAGCTCGGTTGTCCGTGCGTTCGGTCGGTGGGAGAAGAGTGGGCGAACCGAGACTTTAATCAAACTACAGAACCTTTCCCAGATAGATAACGGAGCTGGGGCACCGTCTGTCTGATACCACAGTGTTACTATGTACTATTATGAAAACTTCAACCCTGAGGTTGGCAACTGAAGGATGTTATCTGTTAGTGTTACAGAAGGGCTGCCATAATATTCTGTAACATACCCACTAAAGGGTAAGAGTACTGTTTTAATATCAGTTCCATTAGCAAGTGTCATTGAAAGAGTCTATTCTCAGAAACGGATGATGATGTATAGCAATATTAGATACTTATGATCATTTTAAATTTTTTGAAAGGCTTGCGATCCTTACCATTAGCATCTTCATCAGGCCATATAAGGTCATGCCACTCTGTCTACAGTGAACACTCTGTCCCAGATTTTGAAGTGGGCACAGGTGGACACCCAGCGCCCGCAGCGTACCCAATTAATGCCAATGACCAATTCATTCATCTCCCTGTCCTTGCCAGGCTCTCCATCTCACCCAGACGATTACAAATGAGTAAGTCCCAAATGGCACCCTATTCCCTATATACTGCACTACATTGGATGAGTGCCCTATGGGCCCTGGTCAGTTTGCCAATGACCATCTGGATGATCCAGAGGAGGAATGGGAGAAGGTCATGTGGTCTGATGAGACAAAAATAGAGCTTTTTGGTCTAAACTCCACTCGCCGTGTTTGGAGGAAGAAGAAGGATGAGTACAACCCCAAGAACACCATCCCAACCGTGAAGCATGGAGGTGGAAACATCATTCTTTGGGGATGCTTTTCTGTAAAGGGGACAGGACGACTGCACCGTATTGAGGGGAGGATGGATGGGGCCATGTATCGCGAGATCTTGACCAACAACCTCCTTCCCTCAGTAAGAGCATTGAAGATGGGTCGTGGCTGGGTCTTCCAGCATGACAACGACCCGAAACA